GCACGCTTTAATTTTTATATACAAAAAAAAAAAAAGGAAAAAAAGAAAAAAAAAAAATTTAAATAATTTTTGTCAAATATATAGTAAAGATTTATTATACATACTTGTAATATGTATACAAACCAATTAATAATGTTTTTTGTTTGAAAGTTTTGGTGAAATGTGGAAAATGGCTGAAAATACGAAATTACGTGTTTCAACTGTGTTTCATGAAATTCACTCATGAATTCATGGTGAATTAAATTAAAAGATCGTGCGCGGGAATTTATACGGTGAGGTGAGTGGAGTGATGATGCAAAGTTAATCTAAGTAATCTATTGCGCGGGTTCGCATGATTTCAATAACGTAAAGAATTTTTGACACGTGTGAAATTATAAGTTATAATGTATTTTTAGGGAGACTTTTCGTCAAATTGACGAACTACTAACTAAATTGTATTTTGACAGACAATTAGCCAAAATACGACGTAATTAATTAGTGAAAGTATAATTAGGATTAGGATTAGCCAAGCTTTATAATTATTTATGTGAATTTACTAATAATATCCGATCAAAGAAGGGTGCAATTTTAGTAGACTTCCTCCATATTAACAGTTAATCTATAAAAAGTTTATTATGTTTGGCGATCTTTAAGTTCATAGCCCTGTGAAATTTAAACCCTTTGATCAAATTGTTGGGACGCACAATTACGCACAATTTACGCACAATAATATTTATAATATTTTATCAGAATTTTTTAAACAAGAATAAATTTCTTTTTTTTCAATTCAATGGTAAAATGTTTCACGGTCATTATCCTAATCATTATCTTATGGTGTATTTTATTATACTGTATTAGGTACTGATCTATTTCTATGGTTGTAGAACCTAAAGGTGCAAACTTAATGACGTGACGTAACTCTTAGTTTAGTCACGTCATAGACATAATTAGGAAGTTTGCATTCTACTACTAATTATATTATAATTAAACATGTAGACGTATGATACATTTGCAACACTTAGTTAAGTCACGTCATATACATAACTAGGACGTAACCATAAGAGGATAAGTTTGCACCCTTAGTAGAACCCTCCTTGTAATTAACTTGTCCTGGTTGATGTTATCTTTCTCTTCCTTTATTTCCATGGTTGAGAACTTGGACTACTGTACTAGTGGCATCAAAAGAATTGTTGGTTACTTTCATTCTTCTTTGATAGAATCCTTATCATCTATAATTCACTCTTATTGCTTTTTTGTGTGCTGAATTTCCTCTGCAATAGGATTCAGCACATCTTTAAGCAAATGCTTGAGCTATTGAAAATGTGAAAATGTAGGTTGAATTATTAATTATTAAAATTTAAAAATTACAAATATGTGATATATAAATATACTTATTTTGTCAGACTGCCTAGATATACTTATGACAAATACTTTAGATTTGAATCAACATTTTGTTTCTTGAGTTGACCTGGATCCATTTGATTTTTTCATTTGTTGATTTTTGTAATTCATACAATGTTCGAATTTGTATACAATTTAGACAATTCCTTTTTGCAATTTTATATAAATAGATAACATTTACATTAAATCATCAAAATCATCTGATACCTATAGTTTGTAATCATAATGAGCTTTACCTTTTATTATTAACATAACTTCTATATTATTTTACTTACTTTTATGATAAAGTTTAGCATCTATGTCAATTTCAGTGATAAAGTACTTTTGTTAAAAAATTGTTTTAAATACCAATTGTATCCAACAATGATTTTTTTTTGTATCTCTTTAAATTTTGTCATTTGCCTTTGAAAAATTTAAGAAAAAATATATTTATCAAAAGAACTCTACCAAGTTTCTCAATTTTATCTTCAGGATTAAATGAAATAGAATTTCATAAAATTAAGTAAAATCATTTTACTTCATATCTAAATTTCAGTTAAAAAGAATTATAATAACATTATTAAATCAGAAGTATTTAAAAAGTATAATTTTTATAAGAATTTATTACTTATGTGTAAAAAATTAGAATGCAAAAGATTTATCTAAAGGAAATGGATTAATATGTAAGAGAACTATAGAAACTAGTAATTATTTTATTATTTTATTTTTTCATTTTTTTTTTTTTTTTTGCTATACTTGAAGTTTAATACAAGTATAAAAATATAAAAAAAATAATGTATACATGTATAAAAGGTATATATATATATTGTCGTATATATAAAACAATTATTTATTATTTTGCTGATTGAAATCAATATTATAAAATATATACAAACCATATTAGTTTTTTTTCGCATAATTTTTTACTGATAAATTATTTTATACTATTTTTTTTGAAGTATGAATAATTCAAATTTCTATTTAAAAAAAAAATTATTATTTAAGTTTTTTGTTTATTATTATTATGCAAATGGAAATGGGAATAAATAGGATCCCAGACATCTCTTATAGAACTCACAACTGACTTTTTGCCAAAAAAGATCCAATTTGCTCTTTTTTATTTTCCTTTTTTTGCGATTATTTCGGTATCCAGTGATCTGATTCATGCGGATTTTTTTTTATTTTGTAGAGCTCGATGAGAGCTACAAAACAAAAAAATGTTCGTACAAATTGAACCACTGGATGCTGAGATAATCGTGAAAAACTGATTTTTTTTTTGTGAAATTTAGGTCAATTTGCAAAAAAGTTGCCACTGAATTGTATATGTAATGTCTGGGATCCTGAATAAATTGTTTTCAATATTTTAGCTGACTGGCTCTTTTTTATGTATTTACATACAAAAAAAAAATAATAAATGAATTTACTTTATTTTTTAAAATTTTGTATATTGTATACAATTACAATCAGCTTTCGGTATAACACTGGTAAAAAAATGATTTATCCTACACATATCTTACACATATTGGGTACTCAAAATGTAGAAAATCATACACAAATAATACACATATCATACACATATCGGGTACTAATATATATATCATACATATATCAGGTACCTGATAGGTATACTATATATATAAGTACCCGATATGTGTATGATATGTGTATTATTTGTGTATGATTTTCTACATTTTGAGTACCCGATATATGTAAGATATGTGTAGCATATGTGTAGGATAGACCATTTTTTTACCAGTGTAATGAAGTAGACGTTTAGGCAGGACTCTGTCTACTATTAAGATAGGTCACCCTGTGGCCTAAGGTAAGGTTTACATATAAAACTCTTTGAAGATACTACTATAAAAGGAAATTTTATGTTACATTGTTATGATTTTTTTCTTTTTAGTCAATTAACCAATAGAATTTAAATATGAAAGTGAAATTTCTACTGGTAATATATTTTAGTAGTAGGTGGGATCCTGTTTAGGTTGATCAGACCTCTGTTATAAGTAAATTTGTTAATATTATAATGGATTATTTAGTATAGTGAAAAAATTTGGTATAATACAATAAAATATAGAAAAATCAATACATTTATAAAACTTTATGATCATAAAAGAAAAAGAAAACGTTATTTTCTAATATCAAATTGCCTTTTATATTAAAAATTTATCAGTTTAAAAGAAATTCAGTATAAATACTGGTCAAAAACTAGGAAAACATAGCTTGAGCTTAAATTTTATTAATTAATGCTGAAGTGACTTTAGAGAACACAGAGTGATCTATAAAGTACCGCAACAAGTGCAGAACTAATAGAAAACAAAGAACAAATAATCTTCCAAAATTACATATAAGAAAAGCTAAGATTAAAAACCCCACCCTCTCTATATAAATAACTACAGCTACTCCCCCAAATCTATTTCAAAATTAGTAGAGTCGACTATGCTATACGTAACCCATCTAGCGCCGTACCTACTACAAGAATTGGTAAAGAATCTTTAAGCTACTATTAGCACTATCAAAAATGCATAAAATTCAATTTTTCCTATTTGACTACATACTATAAATAATGAACCTATTTTACAAAGACCTCCAGAAACTTTTTAGTGTTGTGCAGTCCAGCCAATGAGGAACTTTTTAGTGTTGTGCAATTCCTGAAGAACCACTCACCTCATTGTGAATGATCCTATACAGAGGACACTCATAGAGTTCCAAACGGGTCAGGTCAACCTGGGTGATCCGACGGGTTGACCCAAAAAATTTGGGTCGGGTAGCAAATTTAATGACCTGACCTTAGGTCAGGTTAGTCACAAGTTGGATACCTGACCTGACTCGTTGACCTGATATATTTTGGGTAAAAAAAAAACGTTTTGGCATTTTTTATATATAAAAAATGCCAACAGGACCCAGAAATATATATACAGGAGTAGGGTACACAGATGCGTCACCATCATAGTGGAATTAGACGTAGTAAAGTTTTGATTTGCGTACAATTTTAGAATTTTTCATCTATAGTT